ACACATTTCAAAAGCAAACATTTGTATTTTTGTTGCAAACACCTTTGCCATAATATTATATTTTTGGATATATCATATACACACAGTTATTCAAAACCTAAAGCTCTTCTTTCATGAGCTCCTACGTACATTTCTGTTCAAGATTTAAAGCAATTGGCAGAGAGATTCACGGTAAACACGAAAGCAAGATTGAAACCAAACTTTTTTTACTTTAAGCATTTGCGGTTGTGAATACAGTATTACACAGAACAAAAGAAAAGAAATACATCAACCATGTGTAGTTGTGTATATGTGTATTTATAGGCCTATTCTAAAGCCATGATTGCTTGGTGTTAAGTAAAGCAATGAGTGTTTGCACATGTGAGGAGTTAGTGTGAGGCACTGATGAATTAGTGTGGCATTTTGATTGGTTGTGTTTGAAAAAGGAAATCAAGATACTTCCTGTTAGATTTTTGTGTGTTACATAGAGAATTGTGTGTTGTGTTTTGCAAAAAATGTTTAATGAAATTGAGAACTCAAAGGTCAAAGGTCGAGAATTAGTGTATGGTTTTGCAGATTTGCTGTGTGGTTCTGGAGTTTGAGTGTCAGGTTCCAGAAATTGTGTGACAAGTAAAGATTTTGTGTGTAAGCAGTTGAAAAAAAACTGTATTTGACCTTTTTGGCCTTTGCAGTTGGACTGCAGTATTTTTGTAGTATCCAAGTGCTGAATGTATGCAAACATTCAGTGCTATTCAATATTCAGCACAATACTATTCTTGCAGTACATACAGTAGTCCTATACAATATATTCACCTTACTCAGTTGCAATTGCTATACTTTTTTACAGAATTGAAAAATTGTTTACTCAATACAATATACTTTTTTTCTGTAATGTTCTGCATGCTGTGTTCTCCATTTTTCTCTGTAGTTTCTAATGAATGCTCTGTAGTGTTTTCTTTATTGACTCATGTGTATGATCTGAGAGCACTGTTTGATTTTGAGTGCAAGTGAAATGGTTTTGCAGTGATTGTATGATTTTGATGGAAGAGTCAGAGGTTTCGTGAATTTAGTTTGAGCATTTGGATTTTTGTTTAAGGTTTTGAGAAAATGAGTGATGGATTCAAGAAATGTGTTTTAGCAATTCAGAAAAACTGTAATGACATCAGCCTCTCCACAATTGATCGCATCATTCGAAAGCACCGGTTCCGGATGAAACAGGTGTACCGTGTCCCTTTCGAACGAAACTCTGTCAGAGTGAAAGACCAACGAGTGGAATATGTTCAGGTATGAGTTTTGATATCGTATGAAGTATTGTGTACCATCACAGTATAGCAGTTTATGCTGCCTTTTGTGCCCTCTTGAACTGTGCTTCAGGGCAGTGGAGGCTCGTCGGGGGAGGCAGGGGAGGCACAGCTTCCCCAAAATTTTGAGGTGAAAATGGGAGGAGGACGATTTAATGTTAATAAAATGCACAATTCATTTCAATTCATGTCTTAGAATGTGTCTTTTATGTTCGTAATTTCACAGCTGTAATACCATAACATGTTACTGAAGTTGGAAAGCGCCGCTTTTCTATCGCGAATGTGCCGAATCTGCTGATGTAATTACAACCGCTAATGATAGAGAAGGGTAGGGGGAGGCCAGGGGAGAGCTGAGCTCTCGTGCCTCCGTTGGTAAAAAAAAATAGGCCAATCAGCATCGAGGGTTCACTTTCAGTGCTGAGGAGTGTTGAGAAAAAAAAACTCGTAGGGGAGGCTAACCTCCCTTCTGGTATATCAACCAATCATCATAGAGACGTAAATTACGTGATATTAGTTTGAACGTCTGCCGCTGCGCTGATAATGTACCAAGTACTTATGAGTAGCGATATTGAATATTTGATGCCAACAGATTTACCAAGCTGTCATTCAAACAGTATATATACAAATTAAAAATCAAGGGAGAACATGCCTAAGCTGGATATAGGCTAACGTTACAGCAGTCGGCTCTTTTAACACAGACTTTTAAGAAGGGATGGATGTTTGCTTCAAGTGATTGGCCAGGTAAGTGAAATTATATTATCTTGCTGTATGTGTGTCGTTTTCTTTACGTTTTCTGACTAAAAGCAACAAAAAAGCCATTTTAAAGTGGTTAAGCAAATAATAATAATAACAATAACAATAATAATAATAATAATAATAATTGGCAGGGATCCCCAGACCAATACAATTAGTGTACCTCCTCTATTTTAAAACCCACGAGCCACCACTGCTTCAGGGTAGTGATTTACTCTACTGTGTTTCATGTGTTTTGCAGAGAATCTTTGAGATTGAATGTCACTATGTGCGCAGCCATCAGCCAATGAGGGGTACTCCACCGCCATGCCATTCTAGGACCCTATAACACTATGCTCCTCCTTGCTTTTCTTGATGTTCTAAGAGAGCATATGTTCCAGCTGGACCACAGGGAACCAGCACAGCCTGAGCAGCCTCACTACGGTGTTGTTTGGGATAGTGTCAGCTTCCATCGCGCTGCTCTGGTTCGTTGGTTGACTGGTTTACCAATAACCAGAGGTTTTCAAACATCTTTCTGCCTGCATACTCTCCCTTTCTAAACCCGATTTAAGGAGTTTTTTTTGGCATGGCGGTGGAAAGTGTATGACTGAGAACCTTATATCCGTGCTCACCTCCTCCAGGCCATGAAAGAAGCCTGACTAGACATATCAGTAGATGCTTGCCAGGGGTAGATCAGTCATGCAAGAGGATTTTACCCCCACTGCCTGGCCAGGGCCAATATAGCCTGTGATGTGGACGAGATTCTCTGGCCTGACCCAGACCAAAGACGGGATTTTGTGTGTGTGTGTGTGTGTGTTGTACTGTGTAGTACATGAATGAATAAAAATGTGCCAATATATACATTGGTTGTGTCTTTTGTGTTCATCATGTGATCATGTGTGTGTGGCAACATAACTTACCAGTTTTGGAAATATTGTTTTGAATTTATTGCACCAGTGTGTAAGACTATGTTGTAGTGTGTGGTTTTTGAGGGCTTGTGTGTGATGTCTAAGGGCAAAGTTTGGTTTTTCAGCAAGAGTGAATGTTTTTGAGTGTAGAGCTTCATTTTGACCTGAAAATAGGATGTTTGGGGAATTGGGTGAGACGTTATGGATTTGTGTTTACTGTTTTGAGAATAGTAGGCATAGTTTCAAGAAATGTGTTTAAGCAATCAAGAAAAACTGTAATGTCATCTTAAAGGGATAGTTCACACAAAAGTGAATTTTTCATCAATCACTCCCATCATGTCGTTTCAAACCTCTATGCATGTTTTTTTTTCTTCTGTTGGAAAAGTTGGAAAAGTGTTTTTTTATTTTTTTGTCCATACAGTGAGAGTCAGAGTCGTTTTAGACCCCACTGGCTTTCATTATAAGGGCATAAACAGTCAAATGTATTATATATTTTTTATGTTTTCTCACTTGCCTATCGAACATGGAAGTAAGGTATTTCTTGTGAATTTACGAGACTTCTGATGAGTAGCTTCTCATTAGTAGCTATTGGTAAAAGAATAGTAATAGTGCAGTAACGATAAAACTATTTGTGCAATAAAACAGTGCTTACGATTACAAAAAAATAAATAAATATCAATACATACCAATAAATAGGCTTTCAAGCAGCATAACGGACTGTTATTGTACAGCTAAAATAACAGAAAGCAACTGACATCAAAGGCCTCGCACAATCAAATAAAAAATGGCCACATCTGCTAATGAGTTAAAAATAAGGTAAGAAGTGCAGAAGTGCTATTCTTATTACTCTTGTATATGTGTGCATATGACATTGTCATTTGTGTACCATATTACTGTAAGTCTCTTTTAATTACATTTTGAGTAGTCTTATTGTACTTCACTTGTTTCTACAAACAATCTCCATTTTCTGCCATTTTCTTGGAGGTAAAGCACATGTTGTGATAGAGGGTGTTGGAACATCATCTAGCTGTTGATCTTACAAACTGATCTGCATTCATCGAGCAGCAGAAGAAATCTCTTATCTGATTCAGTAAAATAAAGCAACTACTCTCAAGATTGAAAACAAAGCCTGTAATGCACCTTGCTACAATAATCGAGTCCCCCCAAAGTGGCTGCACACATTTTTTTCCCCTTGTCAGCATGACAAAGAATGACAATGCAACCAAATTGCCATTACAAGCATCTAGAATGAATGATTAACCTCAAACACTTTCTTTTGATGAAACATATGAATATTGAAAAATGGGTGTTTGTTGAGGCAACAACACAAAAAGCGACTTTAAAAAGCAAAGTCTGTGAGATTGTGGGAGTATTGTTAAGGAAATTGGTATAAACTTAACATGCTTGAGACTGTGGCTCCACATATAGACAAATAAACACTTACGCAGATGTGGTTTATAGCTGCGTCAGACTTCTTCCTCTTTGTGACAAACAGACAGTCACCTCCCTCCCAACACCACTACACATAAACCCACCTGCACATACTATGAGACGTCATAATTCCCTTATTATTTCAAGGAATCTACCTCAAGGATTCCTTTTTTTTTTCTTTTTTTTTGTATAAATAAGAGTAGTTTTGAGGTAATGTAACAGTGAATGTGTTTTCTGTATATTAGTTTGAATGCATACCACCAGGACAATGGATTTTAATCCATTAAATATTTTATTAAATGGCATTTAACATTAAAAATCTTAAAAGCAAAATTTAAAATATAGACTAAATGCATTTCTTTAACAAAGATGTCAAAAAGTCACAACTGAAAACATTTTTGACTCCCTATGCAAAAACTAACATTGAGGTTTTTTTTTTTTTAATTCCTGATGAAATCATTCATTTCTTAATTATCATTTCTAAAATATGAGCAATATACATGCACAAAGAACACATTTGCAATAACTTCAACTTCCGCACTCTCCTACTTAACATATATCATTATTGTTAACAAAATTGTCAAAAAACAGAACAAAGACAACTTAAAAATAACTCAATATACATTCAATAAAAAGGAGAAATTACGGACAGTAAAAAAATAAAATTAAATAAGATAAAAAAAATACTTAGCCTAAAAATAACTCTGGGGGAATAAGTTTGCTCTATGCAATCTGTGTGGAGGAATATTCAGTAGATTTGCTGAAGACTGAACTTCTGCGTTCAGATAACTGTTGAGAGAAAGTGGCACACTGGCTGAAGCACAATGGAAACTTATCTTTTAGGACTTTAAGAACTGCTCTTCTGAACTTCTGTCCGGCAAAGGCATAGATGATAGGGTTGAGGCAACAGTGGCTTAAGGCGATTGTTTCCACCCACTGCATGGCAAGGCTTAAATTAGTATGCCACTCACAAGAAAGCAAGTAGCCATGCTTCTGCAGGTACATAAGAAACATGACAATGTTGTATGGAGTCCAGAAGAGGAAATAAACTGCCACCACAGCCAAGATGAGTCTGATGACTTTGTGCCTTTTTTGTGATTTTATGCTGAGCAGAGTAGGGATGATCCGGGAATAGCAAAAGCTCATAATAATCAGAGGGATGATCAAGGTCAGGAGGTGCATCTTAAGATAAGTAAATGACATCCAGGCTGAATCCTCAGGAAATTCAGATTTGCATGATACTTTGATGTTTGTCTCATTTTTCGCTTTGGCAAAAATAATATTAGGGAGGGATACAAACAGACTGAGCAGCCATATAAATGAGGCCAGAATCAAACCCATTTGTGCAGACCGATTTCTGGAAAAGATACTATGGGCATGGACGATGACAACATAGCGATCCAGTGTCATAAGGACCATGAAGAATATGCTACCGTACAGACCCAACGTGAAGAGACCTGTTATGAAATGACACATGAATTTGCCAAAAATCCACTCATCCATGGCACTGTGAGCCCAAAAAGGGAGTGACACAAGAAAGAGTAGGTCAGATAGGGCTAGGTTGAAGAGGCACACATCTGTCATGTTGGATTTTTGACGGTATCTGATCAGGACCCACACTACCAGGCCATTTCCGATGAAGCCAAGAATGAAAACTAAGCTGTACAGGGTTGGAAGGAAAACCTCGCTGAAGGCCTTTGTGTTTCCATTGTTGCATGGTGATCCATAGTTTTCAACACTGTCATCGTAATAATCACTGTAATCTGATGTTTTAGCTTGGAGGGCACACAAAGAACACAATGTTAGATTATATAATGAATTATAGGCCTATTTATAACATAATATTTATAATATATAATGTATAATATGTTTATATTGTATTATGAAACATCTTAACAACATTGCTTTCTTTAGGTTTAAAAGTAGACAAAATAAATTGACACCACAAGAAGGAACTTGAATTTTAGTTTGTGCTTTCCTGACACCTACTGGTAAGATTAGGCATGATCTTCTTCTCATGTTGTAAACTGACGACTTTGACATGTTTAAATGTTCACCTTAAACTTATTTTATGTTTAAAAGGATAGTTCACACACACACACACACACACACACACACACACACACACAAAATTAATTTCTGTCATCATTACTCACCCTCAAATTGTTCCAAACCTGTCTTAGTTTCTTTCTTCTGTTGAACACAAAAAAAGATATTTTGAAGAATGTTGAAAAACCAAACAGTAGGCGGTTGAGATTCTTCAAAATATCTTCTTTTGTACTCAACAGAAGAAATAAACTAAAACAGGTTTGGAAGAATTTATGTAAAGAGTAAATGATGACAGAATTTTCATTTTTGGGTGAACTTTCATAATAAAATCAAAATCAAAATAATGCTGGTTTTCCATTTATTTATTTTTTAAATTGTTTACTTCTTAACAAATGATGCTTTACAATTTTAATAATTGTTGTGACAAAAAACACAATTAAAACAAATTCTAATGTCCTATAATATACGTAGGAACAACTTTTAAATGTAGCATAATTACATTGAATAGGCTGTTTAGTAACCTACCAGCCACAGTCCCTGGGTCCTCTGTCATGTCTCTTGGTTATGATAGCTGAATCTGTGAAATTTTTGTGATCTTGCCTGTCAAAAAGCTTTACAAAACACAGGAGGTGCTATTTCCTGAACCTCCCTGGGGTGGGACTTCAACTCACTTTAATGCCATTAAAAAAAGTTCACACTGCTGTCTGTATCATTAAATTAATTAATTTGGAATTCACATCACCCTTTTTAAACTGAGAAATGAGTACAGAGCCAATTCAGCATCAAGGAAAATGGGCATACAACTGTGAGTGCAATACATGAAAATGTTTCCACAAATTTACACATAATTTGTTTAAAATAAGCATTAACACAGTACAATTTGTATATGCAAATTTTTAGCTTGAATTAGCTTATATGTAGCTTTTATTTTCTATGTAAAACTACACATTACCAGTACTTCAAATGATAAAAAAGTATACCTGATACAAAGTGTTACAACACCCACTTAGGGTTACGGTGCAGCAGAATTTACTCATCTGTCATTCTGGGAAGACAATAAAGTGGTTGAGGATTAGATTGCTCAGATTGTTCAGTATTGATTGTATCAGCAGAAAAGCTGTCCTTCAATTTGTTAAAGTCCTTTATAAATAAACAGAAAACTGAAATGCGTCCTACATATACAGTAGATTGATACTTCAGTAGAGTATTTTATTCATGAGTTGACAAAGGTTTTGACCCAATGGATCTGAGGATCCTGCTTACAGTTTTTTTTAAATTGCTTGGACACTAAAAGTGGTATTTGAGGCCCACTCAGTGAAACCATTCTCTCATATAAGCACATTACGTGCTTTAAACTCAGTTTGCTATTGTAAAACAAACTTTTTGCAAAACTCTAAACACAGTTCTCTATATTACACACATCATTCAAAACTAACAGGTCTTTTGTTTCATTTGGGATACAATTAAATGCCACACTCATTTACTGATGACCTACAGCCAGTGATCATGTGCGAAAAACTCTTATACATCATTTGTTCATTTATAAATCAAAACTCAGAAATTATTTTGACCCCCTTGCATTTCTGTTTACAGTGTATATATATATATATATATATATATATATATATATATATACAGTATATACATACACACACACACTGAATATGCACACAAGCCAAGTCAGAGTAAATTCTTTTTCTAAAGCACTTCATACAATATAGACCGTTTCACAGCAGCTTCACAATAGTATCAAATTCAAATTCTGCTGTGTTCTTATACAGCTCAAGTCAGTTCAGTATTGATTCTGTTCAGTTCAAATTCATCAGTTGTATACTGTATATACAGTGTAAATGTGCGTATGTGCTATATGACAAACTCCTGTGCACTCCTCTACACTTTGTTACTACTCAAAAATAAAATTTTTAGAAGAGTTAAAATAGTTTTGAAAGAAGTGTTCGGTTTTGCAAGATATGTGTGACGTTTCGCATGTGTGTGTGTGTGTGTGTGTTTTGTGTGCAGAGTTTTGAGAAATGGAGTCATAGTTTCAAAAACTCTGTGTAAACATTTTGACAAAAAACGTAAATGGACAGGGGCGGGACGTATTTACGGCGAGCCAACCCAGTAGCCAACCGGCTAATAGTAAACACTATTGAATGTCAAGGGACGTCTCTTTCGCAGCTTCACGGTTACAATGGTAAAATCTTGGGTTATCATTAGCAGTTCCATTTTGATATTACATAATCCTACTGAGAATTACGTCAAATTTACGTCTTGACAGTTATGCTAATGTTAACTGTTTTGAAGAGAAACGCTTTCAGGTGGTGAAAGTCATTTATTGACAGTCTCACTGTATCAGTACTGTAAAGCACACGCGCTTCCAGCAGCTCGTTCCCGTGCACAATTCCTGGCTCAGGCTGCCGTTGAGCGCGGGCTCGAGAAGCCGCGGGAAGGGCGCTGCCTGGTGGACGGATTACAGCAGAATTCCGAACTGCTGTGCCGTTGTTGTCGGTCTATAACGCCGAATCCACGTACGTATTTCAGTGTTTTATATTATAGTGGTATTTCGGTGACGATATTAGTTTTAATTTGACTGGGAACTTTTTTGAAGGTAAGAGTTTCGTTGAACTTATACTGTATACGTTCGTAGTCTCTTTTGTGACAGGTGAAACATTTGAATTCTTTCATTTGTTTTTCCATGTTTAAGAACAGAAGTTTGTAACGTTACATCAAACACGTGTCTACAAATAGGCGCGCGGTAAATGGTTGAGTCGTTCTAAATACATGACCGTGACACCTTGTTGCTGGTCAGCTGTGTTTTCTGTAGAAGAGTTTGTTCTGCTGAGGAATATTTTCATGTTCTTTCTTTAAAGGTGACACTTATATGAATAAGTGTGAATTTGAATCCCAATGTCCCCGCCTGGATGTAGGAGTAAATTGCGTTGATTCATAGCCTATTTAGTGTATGACAGATTCATTTGGGAGACGCTACGATCAGACCTCCTGTAGATAGAGCCCTTACCAAATGTTCACGTTTTCAAGGATTTGAGTGTTATAACTGCCTCTCAACAACCCACAGTGTCTATATCAATATTAGCGACAACGGCTGTCTATCTATCTATCTATCTATCTATCTATCTATCTATAGACAGACAGTTGATGGTGCATTCTAGTGGGCCCATTTGAACTTTATTTTTTTATTTTATTTTTTTATTTCAAACTATTTTGATCACCTTATATGTTTAAGCCACACACCAAATAGCCGATTGAACTCTTTTAAGTTAGTGTGAAGGTAACTGAAACATCAGGACATTCTGGAGTGGAATGAGAAAATCAGAATAATACAGAATTGACAGAACAGTTACTGTTGCTAACTCGGACAAACAAATGGAGTTGCTAACTGACAGCTGTCAGTGTGAAAACCTTGTCCCAAGATGTTTTTGATACATTTTGAAAACAGAAGGACCACCATTCAAGTGGGACTTAAATATGCCATGGAGGGATATATAAAAGATGTAAAAATAAATATGGTGGGTAACAAGATTAATTTGGAAGCGAGGGTTTACAGATCACAATGCAAGCGGGAGAAGCCTCATCATGGTCGTCACGATCGCAGATGACAACATCTAGGATTCACGTACCGCAGGGTAAGAATTTACATTTAACCAGTTTAATATAGAGAGGCACTGAAATGTAGACCTTCGTAGAACAGTTAGCTATTTAGGTTTGTACATTAGCATGGACTCACTAAATTTAACATTAGGTGGTTTTAGCCAGAGATACCTTGCTGAAGCACAAGATGACATTAAAGGGGTCATATGATGCTGCTAAAAAGAACATTATTTTGTGTATTTGGTATAATGGAATTTGTTTATGCAGTTTAAGGTTCAAAAAACACATTATTTTCCACATACTGTACATTATTGTTTCTCCTCTATGCCCCGCCTTTCTGAAATGTGTCGATTTTTACAAAGCTCATCGGTCTGAAAAGCGAGGTGTGCTCTGATTGGCCAGCTATCCAGTGCGTTGTGATTGGCCGAATACCTCAAGCGTATGACGGAAATGTTAAGCCCCTATCATATTGTGATGCCTTGTCCCGGCCGGAGCGACGAGACAAAAAACATTAAAACCCATCAAGAGCTTGTAACACTCCAACGAGAGGAAAAATTGAAATCGCATCATATGACCCCTTTAACGTTCTGCTTGAGAATCGTTTTACAATTCTTGTAGCATAAACACCATCAAACCGTTGAAAGCTTCGGATCTTCCAATGTTTCTCTATGGCGCTGAAACCTAAAGAGTTCCGGTCCCTGTGCAACTGATACTCAACTGCCATTGGCTCATCTGTGTTCGAGAGGAGGGGCTTACCGATAGGTCAATTAGGCTATGTTTACATTAGTGCGTTTTCATTTTAAAAAGCATAACTTTTGCTACGGTTATGCCTGTCATTTACATTACCCTGGCGTTTTCGACCCTCGAAAATGGAGACTTTTGAAAATGCTGCAGACCCCATTTTAGTTTGAAAAGTCTGGGGTTGCGTTTCAGTGTAAATGGACCAAAACAGAGACTTTTGAAAACAATGGCGTGGCTGCCCACATTCTCTCTGCGTATCCTTGACGACCGTGTAAACAATAACATAATGCTCATTGTTGTACCTGCATGAATGGTCATGTGACCTGCATTTTCGGTGTAATGTGGACGGAGAACATTTCTGAAATGCAGTAAAAACGTAAGTGTAGACAATAGGGATGCTCTGATCAGGATTTTTGCAGCCGATACTAGTGTTCATTTTGTTAACGAAGACTATGACGAAAAATGTTCGTTGAAGAGCTTTTTTCCCATGACTAAAGGGGCGGTCATACTGCACTTTTCGTTCCATTGACTTCCATTCATACGCATGCAAATGCATCAGACCGGAAACGCAAGCTCGTGCAAAAAATTTCGCATTTCGCTGCGTTCCAAAGTTCAAGTTTGGTGAACTCTGACCTGCGAATTCGCATCACGTGAAGACGTGTGACCAGTAGAAGATCGATACATCACTGCGTGACCTCTACAGAAACTCAAAAATGGAGGAAGCGCTCATTTTAGCCGTAGCGCAGCATCCTATTTTATATAATACATCTTTAAAAGATTATAAAAATCAAATAAAAAAAAGAAGCTGCATGGTTCGCTGTGTCAATGGAAACAGGAACAGACGGTACATTTGAATGCGGACACATTTTTATAATTTTTTATTGCTTAGTGTGTGTGTGTGTATATATATATATATATATATATATATAGAGAGATGCGGTTGCCAGATATCAAGAGTTCAAATCCCCGAATCAGAGCGTCGCTTTTAAATTCATACATTTTCTGCCCTGTGTGTTTTGCTTATTTTAAGCAATCTGGCAACCATGCGCATGCGCTCAATCCTCATTGCGGAAGCGCCGCCGCAGATGATCTGAAAAACAAACAAGCTGGAGTTTAGCG